CACCATTTTTTTTCAGTTTTATATGTATATAATAACTAGTTGTATAGTATACGCTCCAAGTCATGTATGTGTAATTGAATAATATCTAATGAACAATCAAAAATTAGTAAAATTAAATGATAAAAATAATTAAATAAATGAACACATAAATTTTATAATATATTTTTTTGAATGCTGCTGACTCGATTACAATGTAGTATCTGTTCATATACTCTCTCAACCTACTAAAACACAAAGAGCCAATAACGCCTCCACTGAAACTCGAACTCAAAACCTTCCAAATGGAAATCCAATCTGAGTACCATTAGACCACATAGTCTTAGTTAATTATTAGAATATATAATTTTAATTTTTAATAATAAGAAATATTACTATCTCTTATACATTTTGCAAAATATGCATTCAACATAGTAGGTATTATGTTCCAAAAAAAAAAACATTTAGCTTTTAGCAAATATATTTAGTTTTTTTTTAAAATAATTTCTTCTATAATAATTGAATTTTAATATCGATATCATAATAAATAGAATAAATTTTTGTTGAGTTAATTCCCTTTTTGGTCCTAGACTTATAGTGGCATAGACAATTTTAATCCTCCATAAAAATTTTGGTCAATTTATGGACACACTTATTGTGACAAGGACAATTTTGGTCCTCCGTCAATTATCTCGTTAGTTAGCCGTCTAAATGAGGGATATTTTTGTCAATTCAAAGAATGTCCGTCGTCGGCTATAGCAGACTCCGCGCACCGGCGACTGCTCATTCTCACCACCCCCTTCCCAATCTTAGGTGAATCCCTTCTCCAACAACTATTCAAAGAATGTCCAAACCTACCACAATGAACACAATTCAACGACACTTTCTCGAACTCAATCCGCTGCCAAAACCCTCCAGATTCACCTTCCTCACCCACAATTCCCACCCAAATTCTTTCAATCAAAGATTTCGATGCATCAATTCAACCCTAGCCTTTGCAATGTTTGGTCGTGTTCTTTGATCCGTCGCCGAATCCAAAGCCAATACCCTCCCCCCGGCGCCCTTGGCGAGTCTCTGCCAGCGCTCTATACCGGCGACCACCGTGCGAACCAGAGTCCAGCCCCCTCCACCATCACCTGATTTTTCATCAGAGTTCTTCTACAATCCTCCTATTCAATGATCCGATCTGCACCTCTCCATCCACATAAAGAATCAATCGAAGTTTTGCCCTAATGGCATCTAATGGAGGTCTCGCCTTCGCAAAATTCCCAGCCAAGGTAAATCTCCTCTCAATCTATGCTAAATTCTCCCATTCCTCTACTGATACTTTTACATTCGGATCTCCTTGATCTTGAATTTCGATTTTTTTCTGAAAAGGGTGTCTGGGAATTGAGCATGTAAACGGAGCTCGATGAAGCCCAGACGATTGCTGGCTGAGGGTTTGATGATTTGCAAGCTTCGAGTAAGGTCACGAATCCGGTGATGTTGCTGTGGATGCACGAGGTTGGGCTTTGCATTGCGTACCAGACCCCGGCCTGTGCCGCCAAATGCATCACATGGGTAAATGCCACCGCATCGAGGAGCTTCTACAGCAAAATGACGTCATTTATGTTGCATTCTACAGCAAAACAGTGGCGACGGTAACCAGAACCGAGAACCCCAACTTCGACCTGGCAACATTAATACCCGAACCTTACCCGACTGGAAATTTTTAACCTTGATTTCTTGATTTCTGGTATGAAGAAAGCTTTTTTAATGGCGAATGTGAACTGATGGACGACGGTGTATTGTGGAAAGTGAATTTACCAAACAATCGCCATAGTTGAAAAGAGGATTAAAAGAATAAGCTGAATTGACACAAATAACCCTCGTATAGACGGTCAACTAACCAAATAATAGACGGAGGACCAAAATTGTCCTCGTCATAATAAGTGTGTCTATAAATTGGTCAAATTTTTTATGGAGGACTAAAATTGTCCGAGCCATTATAAGTCTAGGACCAAAAAGGGAATTAACTCATTTTTGTTAGATATCCTCAAATTTTGATAGAACGTCGCACACATATATACCATCATGTCCAGGGGCTTTGTATAGTGCCATCAGGGCTGTCTTTTGGATTTTTGTGATCCCGTTCTTGTAAATAAATTAGGCTCTAATTTAGCCATTTGATACATAAACACGGAAAATTTGATTGAGAAGAAAATTGAATTATGTCAAAGATTTGGAACGATTTTTCCATAATCATGCTCAATTAATTAGAAGAGAGAAGTGATAATTGAATTGCAACTTTGGTAATCAAAGAAATTTGAGGGAAAGTTATAAAATTAATGGAGGAAGGAAAAGTCTTGCCCTCTTCCAGGGTGGTGTGTGATTTGGGGAAAGTTATAAAATTCGGGGGTCTATTCCTTGACCACCAGGTAATGTTCAAAGGACAATCCACGACCCTTCATCCCTTGCAAACGCATAATCCTCCTCCGAGTAGAAGTACACGAGGAAGTACTCGTTGTTTAGAGCGAGCAAATCTATGAAAGTTTTGGCTTCAATTCCATGCACTAGTACAAAATGATCAATAAAATCTAAGAATAGTTATTGAAGTTTTTTGAACAATAGTTATAGCCTCACACTCCTCTCCCTCAGATCTTCATCTCCCCTCGAAGAGGAGGGTGAAATCGAGAGTGCTTTTGCGTTCACTTAGCCAGAACCACCCGCCGGTTACGTTCCTGGTTCTCAAAGGGGGGTTCAGTGGGTACTTTGGGTCCCGCCGGAACCACCCACTGGTACGCCATGGGAGTTCGGCAGGACCTTTTCCACCCGCCGGAACCACCCACTGGTACGGTATCTTTGGCTTCTTGATTTTGTTGATCCCCGTTTACTTACGTGTCTTTATTGATGTCTCGTAAGTCTAGAGCGGTGTATTGTGAACCCCTATGGTTAGGTTATGAGTCTTGAAGAAACTACTCACCCAGAATATGGCAATTAATGTGAATGCATGTGTTTGGTATGTTTATACTATTGACAATGTATAATTTTTAATTTTTAGGAAAAGGCATAGCCTATTAGGAATGAGCTCGGTCCCCACACACAATATAACAAAATATGTCATTTTTAGTCTTTATACTATTGACAACGTATAGTTTTTAATTTTTAGGAGAAAATATAGTCTATTTTGAATGACTCGGTCCCCACACATAATATAACAAAATATGTCATTTTTAATCTTTATACTATTGACAATGTATAATTTTTAATTTTTAGGAGAAGGCATAGCCTTTCAAGAATGAGCTCAAATCGAAAAGATCAATCGACAATTCCTCACAGTGAGTCGAAATTAGGACCTTATAGTTACTAAATCTGTAGGTAATGTTGTTTGAACTCTCATGCAATGAACAGACGACAAATGTGTGCAGATCAGATATTAATTAGATTCCTTTGTTCATTTATCACATGCTACAAATTAAATAAATGGGTAATATTACAAATACATCAATTTCAGATAACATTTCTTTTTTAAATAAAAGAAAAAGAAATTTTAGTGATGCACAGTTTTTACATTTTTTTTTTTTGGTATTATATAACTATATGGTTAATAATTGAATTTTATACAATTTATGTAGGGCATGCCTATCAATTTAACGTTTTCGTAGTTATTTTTTTTTTAAAGTAATTGAGTTTAAGGTGAGAACGAAATTAAATTGACAATTTTTAGTGATGATTAAATATACCAAATTTACTAACACGGAATGATTAAGGACAAAAATAACTATTACACTATAATCGAAGGGCTAAAGATACAATATATTTTCTTAAGAAAAATTTTATTGGATGTATTTAATTTATATTTCTCATTCCTTATTAAGTAGTTTGGATTGTTGCGAATGGTCTTGTGGTTTAGTGGCATGAAGTGGCTCTCCCAAATGGGAGGTCATGTGTTTGAGTCCAAGTGGGGCGATATTGACTCTTTGTGCTCTCTGATACCAAACTCTGCAAAACAGGCCTATACAGAGCAGGCCTGATCGGAGAAGCGAAAAACACGGATAGTTATGCTGTGCATCCGTATGCACTATGCATGGTGCATACGGATGTCAAAACGACGTCGTTTTATTAAAAAACGCGCATCTCCCCTTTAAAAAAAATTCAGGTTCGATTCCCAGCAACAACATTATATTGTTCATTCATTTTGGAATTTTAGTTCATAGATTATGGAATTATAGTTCATTGATTATAGAATTATAGTTCATCGATTATGGAATTGTAGTTCATCGATTCTGAAATTTTAGTTTATAGATTATGGAATTTTAGTTCATTCATTCTGGAATTTTTAGTTCATAGATTAGATTATGGAATTATAGTTTATCGATTATGGAATTATAGTTCATCGATTGTGGAATTATAGTTCATCGATTATGGAATTTTAGTTCATATGTTGTTGGTGGGAATCGAACCTGATTTTTTTTTTTAAGGGGAGACGCGCGTTTTATTAAAACGACGTCGTTTTTGCATCCGTATGCACCATGCATGGTGCATACGGATGCACATCATAATTTGCCGAAAAACACTGAGCATGCCTATACGTTTAGGAAATAAGAAAAATACAAAAAAAAAATAATACGAAGGTGAAAGAAGAAAATACCAAAAAAAAAAAACTAATAAAAATTTCCATGTCAGCAATATTATTACCGGTAACCAGGGAAACTTGTAAAAAGTTCTAGACGAAAAAAATATTATTGTTTATGGCTCTAAATATCACTTATTAAAGATCATGGTGCGGTATGAATAATCAGAAATGGTTCATGGTGAAGGATGACACTTTAGCATTTATTTTATTGCATTAAAAATCGTGCAAAAAACAAACGTGACAAACAATTTTTAAGAACGGAGGGAGTATGTGACTTGAGTGTGGCATGGGCACGCTTTTTTGTACGTAATCTAATTTTCAAGTTCAACTCTTTACAAGGATGAACTATTAAATTTCTGGATTTGAACTAGTCAACTATAAATCGAGCCACAATACAAGATTTATTTAATGCAAATAAATTAAAATTGATTTATAAACTAACTGTGTTACCAAACAGGACCTTTATGATTTACACAACACAACGCAACAAGCAAGACCAGGCTTTGTTGCGTGTTTATTCTTAGACGGGTACAACGTTGTCAAAAGTTGCAACGTTACTTATAGCATAGCTAGCTAGCCGGCATGGCAGCGTGTAATAACTACGTACATTATTTTGCCGATGCTAGAGAAGTTTTCTTAAATAAAAGCACGAAGGGGAAATCACTCAGAGCCAAACGCGTAGACTTAATGGACTGGTCATATTCTCTGCCAACGTAGTAGCATTTGTCGGTGCCGGAGGGACAATAAGTGATTATATAAGTGGGGATGATGGCTTCGAGCCGCTCAATCTTGAACCGGTCGCTTTGGTTCTCGACAAACTCGTCGGACCGCACGAAATCTTGCCCGGTACCACTGTCGTGTTGGACCCCCCAGTACAAGTTACCTGTATAGAAGTTGCGTGAAAACTTTAATTTATTAATTAGAACTTAAAAGGAAAATAACCAATAAACACCGAGTGAAAAATAATATAAACGATTAATTATTACTGGAAATTATGGAATTTCCCACAACATGAAAGTGATCTTAAATCAAGTCAAAAGCAAAAAAGTGATTAGAAATAGCCAAAACTTTCGACTTGATTTAAGATCACTGGTGGTCGAAAATTTCATAATTTTCAGTAGTGAATCCTCAATAACCTGAGCAGAGAAAGTTGGTGACGACGTTGAATTTGAAGCTCAAGAAAGTGGACTCGATGACATCGGTGGCTTTGGGGTCCGCCGGCGTGATCACCACGGGGTCGGCGTAGAGCCACGAGATCACGTCGCTGGGGCACTTGGTTTCACTTCTCCACTCGAGTTTCACTTCTCCGGCACCGGCGCCCCATGTGATGGAGGTTATGTTGTAAACCCCGCCGACCTGGAGCGCGTCACCGTCGGAGTCAACCACTGGAGCGCCGGACGACGCTATTGGTACATCGGCGGTGCGAAGGCGGTGGATGGGGTTGAGCGTGGCGCGAGTTGGGTGGGGAAGGAGGTAGAGGGAAAGTGCGAATAAGAGTGCTATGAGGGTTTTCATGTTAGATGACAACGTGGGAGAAGAGATATGAGAGGTAATGATGTTTGTGGGTGTGTTGTGTTGAGGTCTCAAGCATGCAATTTATAGAGGACAAGAGATAAGGGTGAATATAATTATTGTGGCACTCACCACGTCTGATCTTCCTGTGGGTATTATTGGTAAAAAAAATGAGCAATTTAAATTTCTTTGCTCATTAATCATGTGCTACAAATATATCGATTTCTGATAATGGCCCTGTTTGGTAAAAAATTGGTCAATAGGTTAATTTTGGCTTATTTGACCACTATTAATTGTTTGATTTAGTTAAAATATCAATATAAATGTTTGGTTAATTAGCTTTTTGCAACTACATAAGGCTAAAATTCAAAAAGCTACTCCAAACAACTTTTTCAATTAGCTTTTTGAGAAAAAAATATGATACCAAACAGCTATCAACTAACAGCTAATTTACCAAACACTTTTCTACAATCAGCTAATGTTATCAACTATTTATACCTTCTAATTAACACAATCAGCTAACAACTAACAGCTATCAGCAGCTAACAGCCATTTTACCAAACAGGACCAATAATATCTTTTTGAAAGATTATTTTCTTGAAGAGAATTTTAGTGGTGTATAGGATTTAAATGCAGGAATATTACTAGTTACTATACATGCATTGCATGAATAGTTCAATGTCCAATATATATTTTTAAATTAGTGTTTCATAATTTATTAAAGTACCATTGGTTATCCTGATGTATATCAATGCAAGATTATCAATTTTTTCATAAAATTAAATATTTTTAGAATGCATAACTATGACCTTAAACATAATTTTTCATAAAATTAACTAGTGTTATATATAGATATTTTAGAGGGAAACACCCTCACTGAATAGTACTCAAGCATAATTTTTACACCACAAAACCCTATTAATTAGCTTGATTCATGCTTTCTCTTGTTGTCACTTTCGCCAGAGATGAATTCTTGATTTATTCTAGTCCCTTGATGTGTTTCACTGTAATTTTAGTGCCTTGGCGCAGTACACCTTCAAAACACAATCAAATCCTCTTTCCTCCAAAAAATAATGATAATAGGCATAGTTTCTCATATGTGTTGAATATATATATGTAAATTAGGTGTACCGTTTCATCAATGTCAAATGCTTTGAGTGTTTATATATATATATATATATATATATATATATATATATATATATATATGAAATTTATATCCCAAATAGAAAAATTCAAATTTATTTTGACTTGACCCAAATTAATTATTAATAAGTCCCGCTTAAAACAATGCCTTAGAATGATTACTCACATGCCATTTTCGTAAAGCTAGATAGTATGAATATAAAGGTAAATGATTTAGATAGTGAAACATGTTTGTGGCAAATTATATCTAAGAGTTTATATGTATTATGTTAATAGTTTACGTGTATTATATTAAGAATTATATGTGTATTATGTATTATGTTAAAAATATTTTTTATTATTTTATTATTATATTTATAATATAATATAATATGAAAGTATAATCACTTTTAAAAATGAGAGAGTTTTGTAGGGATGTAGAGAAAGAAATGAAAATTTGTAAATTTGATAATGTAGAAGTGGATTCATTTCTAAAAATGAGAGAGTGTTTCAGTCTTATACGTGAACATTAAAAGCAAACTAAAAAAGAAAAGAAAATAACGAAAAGAAAAGAAAAAGAAATATTTGTAGGTAATGTACTAATGTTGTTTGAACTCTCAAGCAATGTATAGACGACAAATGTGTGCAGATCAGATATTAATTAATAAGATTCCTTTGTTCATTTATCACATGCTACAAATAAATAGGTAATATTACAAATACATCAATTTCAGAAAACATATCTTTTAAAATAAAAGAAAAAGAAATTTTAGTGATGCACAGTTTTTACATTTTTTTTGTATTATATAAATATATGGTTAATAATATAATTGAATTTTGTACAATTTATGTAGGGCATGCCTATCAATTTAACGTTTTCGTAGTTATTGTTTTAAAGTAATTGAGTTTAAGGTTTGATCGAAATTAAATTGACAATTTTTAGTGATGATTGAAGACACCAAATTTGTTAACACAAAATGATAAGGACAAAATCGCTATTGGGACTAAAGATACAATATGGGAAGGGATCAGGTGCGGGTGGGGCTTTCCGTGCAGTTGTGCGGATGGACGCACGTTAAGCATTAATGTGATGAACTTAGAGTACAAAACACATGCACATTAAGTACAAATTCACACACGTTAAGCACAAAACGCACGCACCTTAAGCACAAGACTCACACACATTAAGTACAAAACTCGCGCACATTAAAGTTTTAACAACAACTCACATTAAGTACACACTCACGCACATTAAGCATAAAACTCACGCACATTAAGCAAAAGACTCACGCACCTTAAGTACAAAACTCACGCACATTAATCACACAAAACTCATGAACCTTAAAGTTTCAACAACAACTCACATTAAGTACACACTCACGCACATTAATCACAAAACACACGCACCTTAAGTACAAAACTCACGCACATTAAGCACACAAAACTCATGCACCTTAAAGTTTCAACAACAACTCACATTAAGTACACACCCACGCACATTAAGCACAAAACTCACGCACCTTAAGCACAAGACTTACGAACCTTAAGTACAAAACTCACGTACATTAAGCATACAAAACTCATGCACCTTAAAGTTTCAACAACAACTCACATTATGTACACACTCACGCACATTAAGCACAAAACTCACGCACCTTAAGCACAAGACTCACGCACCTTAAGTATAAAATTCACGCACATTAAGCACAAAACTCAGTACACACTCACGCACATTAAGCACAAATCTCACGCACCTTAAATACAAAACTCACGCACATTAATCACCCGCACAACCGCACGGGATATACTTAATTACCCGCACTGAAACTTAATTCGATACGATATATTTTCTCAAAAATAAAAATTTATTGGATGTATTTAAATTTATACTTCTCCTTCCCTATTAAGTACTCTGGATTGTTAGAGAGATAAAATTATGAGAGAAATCACTATTTCTGATCCCCTCGCACGGTTAATAATTGGAATCTTAACGCACAACGTTAATGTTGCTTCATCTTCGATTCCATATATATATATATATATATATATATATATATATATATATATATATATATATATATATATATATATATATAATTAAATTGAGAGTGGTCGCCATTTAGCTGCCACTCTCAATCGCCCAGGCGGGCGCGTGTCCACTGGGTGGGCCGTGAGATGCAGTTGCATCTCACTGCCTTCTTTTTTTTTTTTTTTTTTTTTTTTTTTCTGACATTCTTCCACCCTTTGCAGGGCAATTAGTTTTCAAAGAACTTTCACCCACATCAGTTATTATGCTTGGGTTTGAGAGATTTATTGTACAAATAACTCTAAATTATGCTCTAGTGTGCATGGATGCTTTAGAGAGATAAAGTTATGAGAGAAATCACTATTTCTGATCCCCTCTCACCATTAATAATTGGAATCTTAACGTACAACGTTAATGTTGCATCATCTTCCTCCACCATATGCGTGCCCCACTAAGTTGAGGCCATCCCGTCAACCGATGAACGGCCAAGGCACGTGTCCCACTAAGTTGAGGCCATCCCGTCACCGATGAACGGCCAAGGCGATTCGGTGATGAGGGCCAAAGTGGAAGTTGCTTAATTAAAGTCTCAGAAATGTAATATGACAAAATTAAAAGAATATGATTAAATGTGACAATGCCACAATATTCAAGAACTAAAAGTACAATTTGCTCATAATAATAATAATAATAATAATAATAATAATAATAATACTAATAATAATAATAATAATAATAATAATAATAATAATAATTTATGCTTGTTTATTTAAATTAAAGATCATAGGATTTACACAAGACAACAATTGAGAATTTGTTGTACATTGTCAAACCAACCTGCAACTAACGTCACTTATTTAGCATAACTAACCATCAATCCATAAATCAGACGCTAGCTTTCACGAACTTAACAGAGAATGCAAACTCTTGATCGAGAGCCAAACGCAGAGCCGGGGCCGACTCGTCGTAGTATCTGCCAACGTTGTAGCATATGTGGCCGCCAAAGGGACAATAAGTGATTTTGTAAACGTCACGGCCCGACACGAATTCAATCTTGAACTGGCCGCTAATGTCGGAGACAAACTCGTCGGAGCTCAAGAAGTATTGGCCGGATGGCTGGTCGTACCGGATCCTCCAATAGACACTATTCACACAAAGCCGGGACGTCACAACGGAGAATGAGAAGCTCTGGAAGGTCGACAGCAAGACGACGGTGGCGTTGGGGTCCGCCGGCCTGATCCTAATGCGGTCGCCGTTCGTTAAGGGGCCCGATATGACCACGTTGCTCGCGCATTTTGTCGCCGAATCTAACCAGGCAAGTCCCACTCCTCCGGAGGCGGCTCCCCGTCCGGTGGAGGTTATGAAGTAAGTTTCGCCGGCCCGGAGCGCGTCTCCGTCGGTGTCCAGCACCGGAGTGTCGTCAGCGGTGGGAAGGCGGATGGGATTGAACGTAGAGTGAGTTGGGTTGGGAAGGAGATAGAGGGAAAGTGCGAATAAGAGTACTGCGAGGGTTTTCATTTGACAACAACGTGGGAGAAGAGATGAGAGGTAATGATGTTTGTGGGTGTGTTGTGTTGAGGTCTCAAGCAATTTATAGACGACAAATGTTTGCACTTCATTATTCTCGTGGAATAAATAAATGGTTAATATAACCCGTTTGGATGGCGTGAGTGGTTGTGGGATTAATTGCATTTTAAAAAAAAAATTCTTAAGCAGCTATGTATAAAATAGATATTCAGCCCACATTGAAGCTCTGTGTTGTTGGGTATTATGCACTGGCCAAAAACCAGCCTTGGGTGCCATACTCTCAGCAATTATATCGTGGACCATGGTCCAAAAACGGCATTGTTTCTTTAAGTAAAGAAACGACTGCCGTTATAGCTTAACGGAGCACGTATATTTGGAGTGTTAATTACAAAATGAAATTACAGTGTAGCTAAAATGAAATTAACTCACATATTGTTTTTATATTATCAAATAAAACTGTAATTAAATTGAAATAAAACTGAATAACAGTTTCACATATTTGAGTGTATATTTTCCAGTGATAAAATTGTAGTTATATCGAAATGATATTGTAGTTGTTTTGTAAGAAAACTATAGTGCATATAAAATGAAACTGAATAACAGTTTCGCATGACCATATATATTCTATTAATCCATATAATAGAAAAGAATATGATAAATATACTGTTCACCGAAGATAATAAGCACATGTTCGCCGCTTACTCACTTGTTCAGCACCCTTCGATCCCCTCGTAAGTTTCTTTTAGATGCTATAAGCTCTTGATGCAATACTCCAGCCTGAACATGGCCACATGGTAAAAGCGAATCCGCTTTTCCCTTCACATAGTGTAATTCATTTTTTTGTGTGTTTACATAATTAATGTCCTCCTTTAACCCTTTATCGACACTTTTTCTAAAACTCTTACCTTTCTGATTATCATCAAACATATGATATTCTTAGGAGTGCCTTTATTTATTCTTGATTTTTTTTTTTTTAAATTCTTCTCACCGTACCATTGTGGGTGTGTTAATATGTTGTGTGTAAACAAGTTACATTGATATGTTCCCTCAAAGTTCAAATGATATACTTTATCACTTCTATGAGGGTGCTGTGAGGGTTTTCATGTTCACGACAACTTGGGAGAAGAGATGAGAGGTAATATAATGATGTTTGTGGGTGTGTTGTGTTGAGGTCTCAAGCATGCAATTTATAGAGGACAAGAGATAAGGGTGAATTATTGTATGTGGCACTCACTACGTCTAATCTTCCTGTGGGTATTGGTAAAAAATGAGCAAATTTCTTTGCTCATTAATCATGTGCTACAAATATATCGATTTCTGACAATATTTTTTTGAAAGATTATTTTCTTGAAGAGAATTTTAGTGGTGTATAGGGTTTACATGTAGAAATAATACTAGTTACCACACATGTGTATTGCCCGAATAGTTCAATACTCAATGTGTATTTTTAAAATTTTTTTTTTTTTGAATGCGTGTATTTTTAAATTAGTGTTTTAAAATTCAGTAAAATATCATTCTGTATCTTCACTTGCAGATGAACCTCAACCCTCTCTCTCTTGTCTCCAATGGCGGAGCCAGGATTTATGTTGAGTGGGGGCGAAAAAGCAAAGGTAAAATGAATTAAAAAAATGATCAAATACAATGTTCGATCAAATACGAATAAAATTGTTAAACAACTATATCCTAACTAACATTAACTAATTATTCTAAATAAAAGAAAATGGCAACTAAATTGGTAGATGGAGAAAGGAAGTCGGCAATAGGAGTTGAACTGCTGACCTTTCATATGACACAATAAAGAAATAAAGGCCTTACCATCTAAACTAACCTACACTTTGTTAAAATCTTGGTATGTTTAATATATATCCAATTTATCATCAAACATATGATATTCTTAGGAGTGCCTTTATTTATTCTTGATGATTTTATTTATTTTTAATTCTTCTCACCATTGTGGGTGTGTTAATATGTTGTGTGCAAACAAGTTACATTGATATGTTCCCTCAAAGTTCAAATGATATACTTTATCACTTCTATTGATCATTGTAGGTAATAAATTATTTGTATATATCAAATATTTTACAGTAATCTACTTATCTACATGCATATATAAATGTCCATTATCAAATATTTTACAGTAATTTAATTGGTTGAGGAATAACTTTGATTATATCTATAGCTTCAAATTTATAAAAAAATTTTAGTCTCATAATTGTAATATATTCTTATTTTCATATTACAATTAATAATTTATTGAAATTTCTGATCTACTAGTATTAATACTAGTGCTAGAGTATTAGTACTAGTACTCACTCTAAGTATTAATACTAGTGCTAGAGTACTAGGTACTAGTACTGGTACTCCTAGTACTGGTACTGGTACCAGTACTCTAGCACTAGTACCAGTACCTAGTACTAGTTCGAGTACTCTAGCACTAGTATTAGTACTAGTGCTAGTAGTAACTAGTCCTAGTACTCTAATGCGCCGTTTGGTTCACGGAATCAATTTGGAGGGAATAGGAATAATATTCCAAAAGGAATGGAATAGGTAAGGAATAGAATAAAAATTGTATTATGTTGTTTGGTTCGCTGGTGGAATAGACTTTAGGAATTGTATTTCACCGTTTGGTTGGTTAAGGAATAGAAATGGAATATATGGGTAAAAGACATAAATGCCCTTATACAAAATATATTATTATTATTATTATTATTATTATTATTATGAATTTAAATAAACTATTTTATAAACCATAATTTTACCTATATGTTTGGGCTCAAATAAACTATTTTATAAGCCATAATTTTACCTAAATTTTAGCCCAAACTAGTGGTTCATCTTCAACCTCTCCTTATGTCCCTCTCTTCGTTCAATCTAGCAGACGCAACAAGCCACCACTGTGAACTTAGACGACCCTCAGTCTCTCTACCTTGAACAAGCCACCACCCTCAGTCTCTCTACCTTCTTCCCTCTCTTGCTTCCTCAATCAGCGACGACGGCGATGGTGGAGCTCTGGTGATGGCGGATTGAGACAGGCAGACAGCAGTAGATCGGCGAAACTCGAAGGCGGTTGACCTTTTTCCGGCGTGAATTGGACGATGAGCAGCAGATCTGGACCAAGTCCTCCTCTCCGGCGAACTGTTGCGGCGGCTTCCGGCGTGGGCATTGGCGTCGTGGCGGAAATATGGGTGTTTTTGATGTATGTATGTATATAATTAATATACTTATTTATAAAAAAGAATATAATAAATAGAGGAGGGGAATTGGAAAGAAGTAACCCAGCAGTGGGAACCGGGAAGATGATGATGTCAATGATGATGCTTGGACCTTCAACTTTCTGTTCACTGTTTTTATCAATATGGTTACAAGTTCAGACAAAAAAAATAGAAAAATTCATATAAAAATTAAAGAAATGTAAATTTTAGATTTAGTTGAGGGGTAAAATAGGAAATCTTAATTGTAGGCCATTCCTGACAACTTAGGAATAGCCTAATACCTAGGGGGAGGCTGGAATCTCTATTCCCCTTGCAAGGGGAATAGGTCGTTCCCAGGAACAATGTTCCTGGGAATAGAAATTTCTACCAAACACCGGAATAGGCCTATTACTGGGAATGTTATTCTATTCCAGGCCTATTCCGCGAACCAAACGGGCCATAAGTAGAGTAGAGTACTAGTACCAGTACCGAGTACTAGTACTAGTACTAACTCTAGTACTAGTACCTAGTAATAGTACCTAGTACTAGTACCAGTACTAGTACTAGTATTAAAGAGTGAGTACAAGTACCATTACTTATCATAATTATAGTACTTTTTTTTTAATTATAATTAATATTTGTTTAAAAAAATAAGATAATATGCGTCTGTATTGGCTTTAGTGAATATGTATCTTTAGTACAGACATATATTATCAAAATTAAGAGTTTTAGGAAATATTTTTAGTCTAGGAAGACATAAAGAGAAGATCTGTATGACATTTTTTGACGATTGTAAGGACGGAGATAAGGATACCATAGACAGCCAAAGACACGAAGAAAAGACTATGATGGGGGAGAGGGGGGGGGGGGCGGGGGGGGGGGGGGATTTATGCAACAAGAGATGAAGACTTGATTTATTTAACATATTCAATGACTTCTTGTTAATTAAATAAACCGCTTTCTTAAATGCATAATTTCAGAATTTTGAAGGAACAGAAGCACGACTTAAGAGAGCTAAACATGTTTCAACAATGTGTCTGTGCTTTCTTTCAATACGACTATTTTGTTCATGAGTGTATGCACAAGATTGTCTATAAATAATGCATAGTTGGGCTAAGGTGGAATGTAACTTTTTATATTCAGCTCCTAGATCAGACTGAATGGATTTAATCTTACGAAGGATCGCTCAACCATAGCACGAAACTTATCAAAAATTACATACAGATCAAATTTTTGTGCCATAGGGAAATACCAAGTGTAACGAGAGTAGTCATCAACGAAAATAACGAAGTAACGATAGCCATTATTAGAGAGCAGGGAGCTGGTCCCCAAATGTCTGTATAAACTAAATCAAGAATACACGAAATGGAAGACTCAACACGCGGTAAGGAAAAACGTGCAAATTTTCTTAGTTGACATGCATTACATAGACCAGAAGTACAACGGATAATATTTATAGACCCACTAACCGAACAAGACGGAAGAATTTGACTATGAACACGATGGTGTGGATGACCCAAACGATCATGCCAGACTAACGCGGAGGCTCGAGCTGAAAGAAACACAGTAGGAGATGAATTTGGAATGGGAAGCTTATAAAGCCCCCCAGTGCTATTGTCCCGTAGAAGAGTTTCCTTGGTGTTGATATCTTTCACAACAAAAAAAGAACGGGTGAAACTCAAAAAACACTTTATTATCTGACGCAAATTTTTGGATTGATAATAAAGATGTAGACAAACATGAAACATGAAGGATATTAGACAATTGAAAAGACCTAGAAGGGGTATTAAAAATAGCATGACCAACACGACTAATAGATAAGCTCATACCGTCACCGACACGTAATGTGTCATTATCATTGTATCCTCTGAGATAGAACGATGTCTAAGGTAGCATGATTGGTTGCACCTATGTCTAGAAGCCAAGTATGAGACCCTTGAGAAACTGAAGGAGGTTCTAGAAACTTTTAGTAAGGGAAATTATTAGAAACTTTTAGGTGGTATGTTTTACATGCTTGAAGACAATGATTAAGTGTTCGCTACTCAGGTTACTAACAAGTCATACAAAGATTATTGAATTGCTTTTGGAATTGAAGAACCTTGAAATAGAATACTAGGAAGTTGAAAATAAGAGTTCCTAGATTTATAAGTGATAGTCCACTTTTTTTTTTTTTTTTTTTTTTGAATGCTAGTATTTGTTCAAACATACTTTCCTCATGACCTCCCAAATGGGAGAGATCACTACATGCCATCTGAGCACAAGGTGCTTGGCAGGTGATAGTCCACTTTTAGTTCTTTTTTTTTTTTATAATCAAAATATCCTCTTTTGGTCCTAGTATTATTGTTACATGGCCAATTTTGGTCCTGTATCAACAAAATCGTTGAAATTTCGTTAAATAGAAGGACATTTTGATCTTTTTAATACAAATTGTGTTGACCCGTTATATATTTTATGTTTATCTTTTGAAAAAATTCATAATTGAAGAGCGAAATTCTCTTATATTTAACACAATTTCACTGATTTTTTTGATAAAGGACCAAAATTGGTCATGTCATAATAATACTAGGACCAAATATGTTCTGATAAAAAAAAAAATGACTAAAAATGGATTGCCACCTATAAATCTAGGACCAAAAATAATGTTGCAAAAGTGGTTTCAATATAAGAAAGTGAATAAAATGTGAATTTCCTACTTTACTCCTAAAATTTTAAATATTTTTAAATTTTTTCGCTAGTTGTAACAGTCGGGGACCAAATGCGCCACTTCGCTCATAACTGAGGGACTAAAAATGGATACGGTCATAACTCAGGGACCAAACTCACCATTTTCTCTTTAATGATACGATATTTTGAAAGTGAGAAAAAATTGTAAATGTGCGAATAACCTTAGAGCTGACGGAACATAGGATTTATTGCATATATGCTTATTCTTACACGTAAAAGTTGCAACGTAATGTCACTTATTTATCATAGCTTAGCTTGCCCTAGCTTACACATCACTTACTAGCTTTCTTAAACACAACAACGAAGGGAAAATCATTCAGACCCAAATGAATAGCCCTCGTGAGCGGGTCGATCTGTCCGCCGAGGTTATGGCATTGGCCGGTGCCGAACGGGTCGAGTAATAAAATGCGCAAAATGACGTTGTTTTTGGATCGTGGTCCACACAGCTATGTGGACCACCGCACGGTGCACATAATATGACAATTAATTTGAATAATGTGTCATTGACAATGAATGACTTTGTCCCCACACACAATATAATAAAATATGTCATTTTTAGTCTTTATACTATTGACAATGTATAATTTTTAATTTTTGTGAGAAGGCCTATTGGAAATGAGCTCAAATTAAGAAGAGTTGAACTTAGAACTTCACAGTTACCAAATAACTTGCCTGACCAATGGGACTGGGGTTGTTCCTAATTTTGTGGTGTAATTAACCACAATATAAGCATCATTTTTAATAAATAATAATTTTATGTTATTCTAGCTAGTGTAAAAAAGTATTTGGAAAGGGATCGGAGCTAAGGAAAATATGGAGTATTTTTCTTGTATATTTTTAACTCATACCTAAATTTGAAATATGCTTTGTTGAAAATAACTCTGATCTATATATTGTTACATGTGCTAATTTTGAATATATTGTTACATGTGCTAATTTTGAACAAAAAAAGCAAGTTCTAAACTAGAGAAGAAAGTAAAAATGGAGGAAAGTTGAAAAAAAAAATGAGCTACAATAATACGCAGGTGGGGCTTAAATATTTTAATTTCCCCGCTGTTGAATGGTACTTAGTAATACTTACTATTTTAACTTTTCACCTACGAGTCAATTCAATTTTACCGTTCAACGTTGTCCATTCGACATAATTTTCTTCCAAACATTAAGTGGACGAAAATTCTGACCAACTAATCGTCCATTTTTCATCAGCGATGAAAGGTTGTGATTTTTAACAAATTAACGACTAACATTGTTGCTGGACAAAAATAACGAGATTTCCAGCATTGTAAAATAAATTACGCAGAGATAATAATTCTTGCTTGTTTATTTATAGGGTTCACACAACACAACAATCTAAGATATGTCATAGCTGTCAAACCTAGCTCCAACTAACGTTGCTTATTTAGCTTAACAAGCAAGCTAGCTAGCTAGCCAAGCATACAACCCACCTCAAGCATGCAATTTATAGAGGACAAGAGAATTTTAGTGGTGTATAAGGTTATTGTAGCTAGGATTCATCTATATTTGTTGGTTGTGCTTTTTTTTTATTTTTTTTATTTTTTTTATTTTTTTTTATTTTTTTTAAAGCTATAATTGAGGTTGTAAATTTTGTTTTTTTTTTTTTCTTTTTTTTCTAATAAAATATTAGGGACAAAATTTTTAACGTTAATTATAGCTTAAGGACGAGAATGAAGTGATGAGCACGACCGGCTAGAAAAAAAATATGAAATTTGCAACGCCAATTATAGCTTATGGATGAGAATTGAGCATGACCAATAAATATGAACGACCCTACAATTATCCTATAATTTAGGAATAAAAAGTGTAATTTTTCTTAAAAGATATGTTTTTATGACCCAATATCTTCTACTTTTTTGTGATGATCGAGAGAAACTTGCAACCATTTTCTAAGAGTAATGTACACCGGGTAATCATGTTCTTGTGTAATAATAAGCAAATCATACTAAAAAAACTAAAATGTTGAGAGGTAGGTGGCAAGTGGCAGGATTCTCACCTCACCAACTTGCCCTTCACTATAGGAAACAATGTGATACATACCCTAAATTTTGGGGCCCATTTGCATACATGGTAAAAACGTTGGTGATCGTACGATTTTTGTCACTTAAGGAGCTACTCACACACAATATGACAATTAATTTGAATGCATGTGTTTGGTATGTTTATACTATTGACAATGTATAATTTTTAATTTTTAGGAGAAGGCATAATCTATTTTGAATGACTCGGTCCCCACACACAATATAACAAAATATGTCATTTTTAATCTTTATACTACTGAGAATGTATAATTTTTAATTTTTAGGGGAAGGCATAGTCTTTTAGGATTGAGCACAAATCAAAAGATAAATCGGCAATCCCTCACAGTGAGTCGAACTTAGGACCTTACAGTTACTAAATTACTTGTCTGACCAATTCAATTGGGGTTGTCCCTAGTTTTGTGGTTTAATTAACCAGAGTATAAGCATCATTATTATTAATAAATCATAATTTTCTGTTATTCTAGCTAGTGTAAAAAAATTATTTGAAAAGGGAGCTAAGGAAAACATGGAGTATTTTGTTTGTATATTTTGAACGTAGAGTGAGTTGGGTTAGGAAGGAGATAGAGGGAAAGTGAGAATAAGAGTGCGAGGGCTTTCATGTTAATTGGTAGATGACAATTCAACTTGGGAGAAAGAGGTTATGATGTTTGTTGGAGTGTTTGAGCTCGATCTCATGCATGCAATTTATAGAGGAGAAGAGATAATGTTGAATTATTATTATTTTAATACTAATGACTATTACATTGTAGTATCTGTTCAAATACGTTCTCAATTTGTATTGTTGAAGCATAAAGAGTCAACAACACATCTATTGAGGCTCGATCTCATAACCTTCCATATGAAAAAAGTCAATACATGCCATCTGAGCACAATGTATTTGGCAAGTTGAATTATTATAGTACCAAGAATGTGGACACATTTTATTTTATTTTGTTTAAAATATAACATTTATAATAATAATAATAATAATAATAATAATAATAATAATAATAATAATAATAATAATAATAATAATGGTGGTGGTGGTGGTTGTATAGTGGTGGTAGTGTGGTGATGGTGGTAGTACGTGCAATACGTGGTAGTGGTACGTAGTGGTGTTGTTGGTTGTGGTGGTAGTGGTTGTTGATGGTAGTGGTAGTGGTAGTGCTGGTGATGGTGGTGGTGGCGGTTGTGGTTGCGACAATGGTGGTGGTGGTGGTGTTGTGGTAGCGGTGGTAGCGGCGGTGGCGGTGTTGTGGTGTTGGTGTGGAAATTAGAAATTGACTTTATTCAAAAAATAGGGGAAGTCATTTTTCAAAAAAAAAAAAAAAAAAGAGTATTTTTCTTTAACCAAACGTTCATTTTCCTTTGACTCACTCACATTTTTCACTCTTTATCAAACACTAAAAACTCAAAAAATGGTATGATACTCAGAAATCATTTTCTGAATTTCTAGACCACCTGTACCCTAAGAGAAATTTAGTGATTCATAGTGTTCACATATTTTTATATATCTTTATATAGCTATGCATTTGATAATTGGATTTTGTTCAGATCAATAATTGATTAAGGGTATGGCTATCAATTATATTTAACGGTTTTTTTTAGTGTTACTGACTTTGTTACAATGTAATATCTGTTTATAACTACTTTCTCAATCTACTGAAGCATAAAGAGCCAATAGTTCGCCTTCACTGAAACTCGATCAAACACACAATCTCACATATAGGGGAGCAACATGGTGCCAATAGATCACAAGGTCCTTAACGTTTTCTTTTTGAAGAGAGGGAAAACCCAAGGGCCCAAACTAGCTTAGCAGCGCCTTAGAAGAACGTAACTTTTCTCTGTCTAGACGCCCAGCTTCGAGCGGTCCACCATCAGCACTTGCGAAATACTTGGGGAGGAGCCTCTACATAACAAAATATGACATTTTTAGTGTTTTAACCATTAAACAGGACAAAATTTGCAATGTCTATTATAGTTTATATATGGACCATAAGTGAACACGACTAATAAATATGAACGAACCCTATAATTATCTTATAATTTAATGATAAAAAGTGTATTTTTTGCTAAAAGATATGTTTTTATAACACCATATCATCTTTTTTATTTATTATTATTATTTTTTGGTTGTTGTTGTAACGAGAGAAACTTGCAACTATTTTCTAAGAATGTACACTTGATAATCATGTTTTTGTGTAATAATTGACAAACTTTACATGAAAAATAAATTATACTAAAAAAACTTTAAATTTTAAGTATAAGAATCATGATCGACTCACTTGACCGTAGGATTTGGGAGGAAAAATCGAAAAGAATTGTTGCCTCGTGAGATATTCGTGAACAATGTGAAAAATGAACGAATACATTTGGGTGGGACGTGGTCTCAAAAATGAGAATCAATTGTCTTAGCTAGTGTGTTAGCAATTTAGTTCACTGATCTCCTAATATAAACACAATCTATCGAATCAAAGTTAGTCATGAGCCTAATGTGAGATTTAAATATAATCTAACCACAGAGAACAATCTACGAGAAACTTAACTCGTAGTAGCGAAAGCGGAAGCACTGTAGATCTCCAGTCATGGTTGATATCTTGTTGTGGTTGATATCTTGTTGTGTTGCCTCTTGAACAGTAGACCTATATGGTGTTAAGCCGTTTTGTCTATACTTGACTTAGAACCCTAGATGGTGTACTGATATTTTCTGAGCAGCGTGAGTACCATAATAATGAATAATGTATCATGTATCTCATCAATATAGGCTTTAATTTATATAGGCACATGGGTGAAATACAGACTTAAACCTAAATGTCCAATCCAACCAATTATTTAATGGGCCAAGTTCACTTGCACCACATAAGTAAGACCCATAATATATAATATATATTATACGGAAAAGTCTTACACCTAATGCAAAACCAAACAACAAAGACCTATAGGGAATCGGTTTAGGTCTTTACTTTTTAGATCATTCACCAAGCTCAGGCAATCAGTTTCCAGTAGGAGTCTCCTAACCCACGGTCATTTAGCCAGGAAAGGACTTCCTTACATCATATTATAGATAGAGCGAAGTGGCGCACGCATTTGGTCCCCAACCGTTAAAACTGACGGAAAAATTTAAAAATATTTAAAATTTGAAGGGTAAAGTTGGGAATTCACATTTTATTCTCTTTATTATATCAAAACCACTTTCACAACATTATTTTTCACTTCTTAGCCTCTTATTTCAAGATTGTTCAGTTCTAAATGCATTTCAATAA